ACATTTACGCATGTTTAAAAAATGTTTTCTATTAAATCAATAACAAAAACATCACTAATTAAAAAAAACTTTCTAGTCGTTATAATTGCGGTTTTTTAAAAATTTTTTAAAAAACAATTAAATTTAATGTACTTCCGCATAAATTAATTGCTTTGACATTTCGATGACAATCAAAAACAGCTTAAGAGACGAGGTAATTAAAATTGTAGTCGTAAGAGACTTTTTTTACATTAAAATGCTCTTAAAGCGACACTATATGAGTATATATATATATATATATATATATATCTATATCTTTTAATTGTATTTTATTGCAACATAATAATGTTTAATCTCTTCCTTAATTTAGATTACTCAGTAAGAAAGAGACGTTGAGGCGTTATTGTAATTTGATTGGATTTAGGTCGCCACGCAAGTTAACTAAATTCCAACGATGTTCCAACGTCGGCATAAGGGTGCTATTCTAACGTTTGTTATCAAACATTGGAACAACGTCGGAAAAACGTTATCATCTAGCGTCTTAAATGTTAACATTAAAACGACGTTGTAACAACTTTGGTTGTTTAGCATGAAACCAACGTTGTCTGATTAACGTTAGAAAGACTAAGAGCAACGTTGGTTTTTTTACGTTTTTGCTTTTGACCTTTGAAAAAAATCTTCACTATTCAAAGCAAAAAAACTTTCAAATTTTTAAATGGTTAAAAAACTGCTTTTGAAAATGGTTAAAAATGGTTAAAAAACCGTTATTTTGAATCTGGTTTTTAGGCGTTATAACCTGTAATACTAATATTTATTACATCATCTCTGTATAATCTACAGTCGAATTATATATCAACTTTCTTATCGTTTTAATGATAAATAAAAGTTACTGAAACCTTATTTTTAGGTATGCGTAAATCGGTATTTTATAGAGCCGCTTTTTTTTAGTTAGTTGAAAAGTTGCATGGTATGAACTTGTTTTGTTCTTTTATTTTTTAGAAATACGTGTTAACATATATATTTTTAAAATACTAGAATTATGGAACTTTAATATTGCATGGGTTTCTTTGAGTTAAAGTTTTATTTATTATGAATTTATTGCTGTTCAAAATTAGCTTGTTTTCGGACATCAAGTATATATCTTTTTTTTTTTTTTTTTTTTTTTTCTTCTTTGCCGTTTGATAAAATTTACAATAAGAAAGATCGTACATATATAATATATGTCCGGAGCAAAAAGAAGACGTATATTGTCTTATCGCCAAGCCCCGTTTACATTATTGCCTTCAGTTTATGTAACAAGTTAAAAATTACAAAATACAACACAATATATTACAAGTAGTAAATCGTAAAATAAGATATATAAATAAACATTTCTTTTTTTAGTTATATAAATATATATTATTTATAGATAAGAAATAAATCAAGACAAAAATAAGAGAGTCGTGATGACTTTTTCAGTTTAATTATTTTAGGTACTATTAAAAGAAATTTTTATAATCGAAGTTTTTTCTTAATAGAAAACGTTTAGATTCTCTTTTGAATTATTCTTGGGAGAAGTTTAGAAGAGTTTTACTTTTAATAATATTTTTCAAAAAACTTTTCCATATAAATGGTCCACGGTATTGAATTGGAAATGAGCTGAGTTTTGATTAAGATCTTGGAATAACAAACATATCAACTAAAATTTTTTTGTGAGGTATTTACGAGTAATTTCAGTGAAGTAAGAGTGAAATATAAATTTTTAAAAATAAAATATTAGTAATTAATTGAAATTTATAAATTTATTTGTATTTTTAATATATTCTAACAGGGTACCATCATATATGATTTGAATACTTTAGGTTGAAAGGCTAGAAGTCCTTTTGGCCTCGGCCGCACTCTCTGACCCAATATCAAGAATATTACTTTGTATCTTCATCTCTATATGCATACATTTTAGCTTAAAAAAAACTCAAATATTTTCTTCTTGTAATAATTCTTGTAATATCAATTCAATGATTTTTTTAACAGACTCCTAACCAGATTTTTAGATGTTTTTATCTTATAATGTTTAGAGACTTGTTGAGATGCTGATGAGTTGAGAAAAAAAAAATTTATTGAAGGAATACTGGTTATATATATCGAAGGAATACTGGTTCATTTTTCTTATATATTCTCTCAACCAGTAACGGATTTTGTCACTCGCTAAAGAGGGGGCTAAAAGATAAATACAATTTTTTTAATAATAAGTAATTTTTTTTTTAGTTTTGTACTTTTGTGTAATAACCAAGTTCATATACGTATAATTACATATAATAGTAAACTATTTTTGTCAATATAGTGGTCCAAATCTGTATAACAGTCCATTTTCAAAAAAGTATATTCAGGCACTTTTACACTATATTCCGATTAGGTAAACATTTATTGTGTTTGGACATCTAGTATATATGAAAGGAATAATAGTTCATTCTTGTAATATATTCTCGCACCCTTGAAAACCTTTTTTCTTACTACATGTTAAGTTTCATTGAAAAAAAAAAACATTCTCACGCACCTTAATACTATACTCCAAATAGTTAAAAATTTGTTGTTGTTTTGGACATCAAGTAAATATCAAAAGAATGCTGGTTCAATTTTCTAATATATTCTCTCACCCTTAAAACCCTTTTTTCTTAATACTTGCCAAATTTCATCGAAAAAAAGCATACTCAGACACCTTAATACTATACTCCAATTAGATAACTGTTTTAAGCTTGAATTATGCAATACACTTAAAGAGAGGAGGGGAAGAGTGTATTAGTAATAATAAAAATGATGTTGGATATGGATTATTTAATTGTACTAAATAGTTGTAATAGTGTTAGCTATTGCATTGTCATTATATTTACCATTATTTAAAAATTTTAATTTTTTTTTTATAAAAATGAAACCTTTTTCTAGCTATTATGGAGCCAGAAGCGAAGTTTGCGTTTTATGGTGAATGCAAAAAGTATTTAACTGCTAATTTTGAATTGTCAAAAATAAACATTGACTCTAATACAGAGTACAATACAGTTTGTAGAAATGCACATATTTTTTTTATTATTTACAAAAAACAAAGATTCTTTTTTTAAAGCATCTCAACAAGTCACTAAACATTATAAGATAAAAACATCTAAAAATCTGGTTAGGAGTCTGTTAAAAAAATCATTGAATTGTTTTTACAAGAATTATTACAAGAAGAAAATATTTGAGTTTTTTTTAAGCTAAAATGTATGCATATAGAGATGAAGATACAAAGTAATATTCTTGATATTGGATCAGAGAGTGCGGCCGAGGCCAAAAGGACTTCTAGCCTTTCAACCTAAAGTATTCAAATCATATTTGATGGTACCCTGTTAGAATATATTAAAAATACAAATAAATTTATAAATTTCAATTAATTACTAATATTTTATTTTTAAAAATTTATATTTTGTAATATATTTAAGGGTTTTGTAAACGCCCCTTAAGCACCCTTTGCACACCTTTACTGTTAGCCCTATCTTTTGATGCCAAGTTGTATATTTTTTAAAAACAAATGACCAAGTTATGACGTTTTAAGTTGAATAATTATCTTTATAAAAATATTTTAAGTAAAATGACCAAGTTTGTCGTTTTAAAAATTAAAAATTTGGTCTCAGTTTATTCAAGAAATTCATATATTTAAAATTTGGTACTCAAAATGCCATAACTTTTTGTAGTATTTTTCTACTTTGATAATTTTTTCACCATTAAAATTCTGAATTGAAGACCATTCTAAGGATATATAACAATCTAGTGTTTGATCAATTTGAAAATTTCATGTCACGTACCCATAATTTGATTTCAAAAGTTGTTTAATTTTTGTTATGTTTTTGTTTTTTAATAAAAATACAGAGTTCATTTTTTTAAGACATTTAAATCAGCTTTTTTAATACATAATATTTTTTATTTATTTGAATGGAAAATTTGTTAGTTTCTTGTGGATTTAGTTCTAGACTAGAAATTACCTAGTAAGCTTCCTTAAAACTTGTGTAATGCATTTATTTTACGAGTTTGTCAAGTGGTATTTTGTTATTCAAAGACTAGGATTTTATTTTTTGTAACTTATTGGAATATTTATGCTTTTATAACTTATTGGATTAAAATTATTGAGTTTGTATTGTTATCTCTTTAGTATTTTTTTGTAATATACATTTAATAGTGCTTTTAGTAATTACATTTATAAAGAAAATGTAACATTAAAAATTACTTTTAGTAAAGATAATATACATTAAATAACATATACATTATACATTATAATACACATTAAATAAATCACACATTAAATAAATTAAATTGCTTCTGTTCAAATGCAACATCACTAAATAAAAAATGAGATGAATTTAAATTAATGCTAAGTAACCAAAACCAACCACATATCATATGCATTTCAGAATCCTGATTTGAAAAACTTGTTAATTTCCTGCCTAACTACACTCACTATAATACAAATCGAACAAGTAAAAAACATGGAGGTGTGGTAATTTATTTAAGAAAAGACATTTCATCACTAGAAATAAATTCCAAACATTTAAACACTTCTATAATTGAATCTATCTAGTGTGAAATTAAAACTAAAGCAGAATCTATCCTTATTGGTTGCATTTACAGACCACTACACTCAGAACACCAAGTAAATACTGCAATTAAAAATTCCATTACAATAGCTGCCCAACTATTTAGCTCTAAACGTTTCTCAAGTCTCCAACAGCAGGCGATTTCAACTAATCAGACATATTTTGGGACATCAATTAAAGATCAAACTGTTCACTTCAATCTAGAATAGAGTTTCTAGACGTTCTCATTTCAATTTTTTAAGTGCAATCTGTGCTAGAACCAACTTAAGCAATAATCTGAAATGAAAAGACCACATCACAACATCAGAAAATCAGAAACAGGATAAAGCTAGAATTATCGATTTTGATGTATGCGCGGACAGCTCTACTGCAGGACCACTTTTTAAATCTAGTTCTAACCCTGCCTGTGATACTTTTACGACCATGCCAAGAGAGCCTCGATCTTCTACACTCACATCCGTATTCACAAGTCTCGGCCCTAAGTCTGAAGAGGTGGAGATCGATACTAGAAGCTCTTCCTATACACTTAGTTCTTTAAAAACGAAGCCTAGATCTTCATCTTCTAAACAATCAACAATACAACAAGTGCTTGCAAAGACTAGGCCTCTCACATTTACAGATCCGAAGGCAATAAAGATTACAAGGCTTATTGCGGAAATGATATGCACAGATAACCAACCTCTTAGTATAGTAGAAAATCCTGGTTTCAAAAGTATACTACAGTTTTTAGAGCCAAGATATACAATACTAAGCAGAAAATGCTTCTTGACTATTGAAATTCCTAACATTTTTCAAAAGGTATCATGTAAAATTCGTTTCTTGGGAGAAAAAGCTAGTTATGTTAGTATAACTACCGACATGTGGAGCTCCGCAGCCAATGTTTATTACATGAGCTTAACTGCACATTTCCTCACAGAAGATATGAAACAAATTCATATTTGTCTTGACGTAGTACCTTTTCCATACAAGTCCCACACTGCAGACAATCTTGTTAAATTTATTAATACATCACTTGAGCGTTGGGGACTACTTGAAAAACCTAATGTAATAGTAAGAGAAAATGCCAGAAATATTGTCTCTGCTATGGAGGTAGGGAAGTTTTCAAGCATTCCTTATCTTGTTTATACACTTCAGTTGGTTGTCAAAGATAGCTGTCTTGACAATGAACGCATTTCTTTACTAACTGCATCATGTAGAAGAATAGTCGGACACTTTAAACATTCGGTTAAATCTTACAAACATTTGAGACAATCTCAGGAGATATTAGGACTTCCTAAACATAGCGTTATTCAAGATGAGCCAACTAGATGGAATAGCACCTTCCACATGTTAAACCGTTTAATTGAACAAAAAGATGCAATTCTGTTGGTAACGCCACATTTCCCAAAAGCTGCTCGACAAAACAAAGAAATGTCAACCAAAGAATGGTACAGTTTGGTTTCTCTCGTTGCTGCTTTAAAAGTTTTTGAAGACGTCACGCTTACTGCAAGTTTATCGAAAATGACCACATCAGAAGTTATCCCAATAATAAATGCAGTTAACATGTCACTCGATCACATTAAGGACTACGGAAACTTCAAAGAATCTCTTTGTAAACTTTTCCATCGTCGTTACGGAGACTGCGAGAACGAACCTATATATATACTTTTGCAACAATACTAGATCCCAGAATTAAAAACAAGATTTTTAGGATCAGGGCGATGGCTGAGAAAGGTGTTACTTTATTGATCAGTGAGTTAAATGCACTGAACAAAGACAAAAGTCTTGCAATTAAAGTTGTTGAAAATCATATACGAACCACACCTGCTCCAGGTGCTGTCTAGTCATTATATAACCAAATAATCAATACAAATTCTGAAGTAAGTATTGTATGTGTTTCTATATTATTATTATACTTTAAATATTGCAATTTATTTGATATTTTGCAATATTTATATGTATTTGATATTTTGCAATATTATATATTTACATCCATGTTTCGGATTTAAAGAATTGAGAGAGGGCTGTTACCACTATTAGAAACACAAAAGAATTAAAAAAAAATTCCTCCTTGACTGAAATCCCCTCGGCCATGGGGAGGTGAAGAATATAAAAAAAAAATTAAATTTTTTAAAAAATATTTTAGATACATACTGCGTATAGCACTATGTCAGACGAAGTAGCAGTGTACTTGAAAGAACCTCTACTCGCAAGTCACGAAGACGTATTTGATTACTGGAAGAATTCCAAATTTTTTAGTATGAAAAAACTAGCACAGTAGTATTTAGGAACGCCTCTATGTACAGTGTTTTCAGAGCAGTTATTTAGTACTGCGGGGGTTATCTGCGACCGAAAAAAAAAGCCGGTTAACTCCGGAACGAGTGCAAATGCTTGTGTTTTTGAACAAAAACCTGCCGTTTCTAAACTATCAGTACTAATGGTAGTAACTTATGTAAATGCTGAAAATATAACATTCTGTTAATCTGATCACTATTCATTACTTTTGACTTTATTATTTGTTTCTTATTAACAATAAGATTATACAAACATTCTGTAATATAATATAATAGTAGTTAAGTTGCTATTATTTCACAAGACCGACACGTTTTTTTAAGAAAAAGGGGGGGGGGGAAAGTTGCACACTCCCTTATTTTGAAAAAAATTCTTATTTTTTAGGTCAATTTCTAATAAAATAGTTTTTTATAAAAAAGGTATTGGGAGGGCGTGCTTCCTAGAGCGTCGGTGTTGTTAGCCCTGTTTCACATGTACTAATATAACTGATTTCAATGTTTTTATTTTTAAAGACTGTGTAAGTATTAAACTAACTATAAGCACTATCAGTTAAATTAAAACAATAAAAATCACAAAGAATTGGAATCGGTAAAGAATCGGAATCGAAATTAAGAATCGGAATCGGAATCGGTATTTTCTGGAATCGGCCCATCTCTAATACAAAGATTATATGCAGTTTTACCAGACTACTGGTAAGGAACTTTATTTATAAGTTGATTTTTATGTTAATTATAAATAGTTGAATATTAGAAATTTTAAATAAAGAAAATTTCTACTGATTGCAAAACTAGCTTACATGTTCCATGTCAATATATTAGCTTTGAGGAGATTTTGTTTTTATGTTTTTTTCAACTATTTTTTGGGTACTGATTTATTTTTTTATTGCAAAACTCTAATAAAACATTGTCTTAAACCATTAAATAGTTTTAAAAATTTAGAAATATTTTGGAAGGCAATATATTAACAATATGTATAAAAAAATAAAAATTTATCAACAGAACTGAAATTTATGTTTGTCTACTGAACAGTACTTTTTTGAACAGTTACATAAAAAAAAAAATGAAATTAAAAGCAAGAAAAAGTATTGAAATCAAATATGTTAACTAAATTAAAAAAAAGGACAAAATCAGTTGCCATGCTATGAATATTTTTTTAATAATAAGATATGTGAAACACACTGAGAAATCTTAACAAGATTTTTAAGTGTTTCTTGTCAAATGTAATGTCTGTGTTTTATGAAGTATGCTCAATACAAAGTTTATAAAAAGTTGCACCAGACTAATGGTAACTTATTTAAAGTATGCAAAGTATAAATTTTCAGCTGAGGCAGAGGTTGTTCTAACCCAGTAAGCACAAGACGCATTTTAGACACTTATAGACGTCTAAAACTAGTCTAGGTAAAGACGCACTTTTATAAGCGTTTTTTAAGACATCTTTTAGACGTCTTTTATGAATGCGTTTTTAAAATGACGTTTAAAAGGCGTCTTTTTTTAAAGATAAAAAAACGTCTAGAAGATATCTTTTTTTAAGACATCTTCTAGACGTCTTTAATGAATGCGATTTTAACATGACGTTTAAAATGCGTCTTTTTAAAGTTTAAAAATACGTTTAAAAGACGCGTAATAAATAGTCTAAAATACGCATTAAAAGACGTCTAGATCAAAGCTTAAAGACGTCTTTTCTGAGACCTGTTTATAAATATGTCATTATGACTTCTTTTTGACGGCTTTGTCATTACGCGTTAAGTAGATGTCGTATATTCAAAGTAAAAACATAGTTTTTATTATTTTCAATAATTTGTTCAAGTTTTAAGTGTAAATTACTTTAAATTAAATTACCTTTTTACACAATTGCTAAAATTGTTCTCACAGGAATCACTAAAATAATTGCTATAATAATAATATATCTTTTTTTTATTAATAATTATTTTGCTTTTTTAATAGATAGTTGACTGATCATGATAATAAGTGAAAATGGCAAGAATAATATATAAGTTAAATATCAGTACTTTTAGTTTTTATACACCCACAAGCCATATAATAAGTCAAGTATGCGGTCAAAAATCAGCTAGAAACACGTATGTTAAATTTTATTATAACTATAGGTAAGTTATAAATGTTTTAAATACTGGTTTGATATACATTTGTTAATGTTATTTATTGTTTTCATCTTTGATGCATGAACCGTTGGTGGTGACAAGCAATATTATTTTGATTGCTGGTTCCTATTTTGTATATACGAAATTATAACAATATATGATGTTATTAATACAATGAATATATACCACATACTACGCGAAAATTTTACGTCATGTACTTGAAATTATCTTGAAAAAAACGTCTAACATACGTCTAAAACGCCTTTTTATAAAGACGTCTTCATTTAGGCGTCTTTTAGCCTTATGATCTAGACGTCTACAAGTGCGCCTTTTAGACCTCCTTAAAGACATCTTTAAAACGTCTTTTAAACGTCTTTCTGCTTACTGGGAAGCTCGTTACTGCATTTTTACACCGTCTTGTTAATTGTAAATAGTTAAACATTTTAATTTAAAAAAAAAAAATATTTCAGATATTTTACCAAACTAGCTAATATGTTCCATGTAAATTTAAGAACTCTGAAGAAGTTATTGTTTAACCTAAATATCGAAAAACCTGATAAGGCGTACATCAATATTCTTCTTTACCTAATAAAACATCATCCTTAAACCTTCAAACACTTTGTGAAAAGTTAAAAAATGTTTTGCAGAGAATTTTAACATATATATAAACAGGATGAAAATTGTATATTAACAATCTATTGGAAAATTTAACAAAAAAAAAGTGATATTTATTTTTTTCTACTGAACAGTTCTTTTGTTCATTTAGATATAATTGTTGATATTACTTGTTAGGAAAGAGAATTAAAGATAAATAATTTAACCAAATTGATATATACAATTTATATATCGGAGTAATAAGTGTAAAATTATGTAAAAAAAATTATGTGTTTTTTTAAAATATTTTTCTTGCTAAATGATAGGACTAATAGGAACTTAATTTTAAACAACTTATACCAAGTTAATAATTTTTTAATAATATTACTTGGTAAATTTTAAAATTGTTTTAAAAATTCTATCGTAGAAGAATCACAGCATAGTAAAGTTTTACGATCTGGTTTATAGTTTGTTACACTCGTAGTTGTTTTTATAATTTAGAGTTATAAAAAACCATAAGGAAAATAAATTAACTTTTATAAATCTTTTTTTGTAAGAAAATAGATGTACTATATTGTACAAAATTGGATAAAAAAATCATTTTATTTATTTTTTGTTATTTTTATTTCGCAATTAATCTATTTCACTTTTATTATTTGATACGTTTTTTGACATTTGTTTTGATTTAAACTTACGAACAAAAGCCTCTCTTTAAAAATTGGCAAATCAGATCGCGTATATCTCTGCCAATTCTGAGCCTGTATGGGGTTGCAAAATATACGGCCGCGCAAATAAAAAAAGCAATTGCTTTTACTCAGCCTGTTTTAAAGTAACTGTTTACCCTTACCTTTTATTCACGTAAGGTTAAACAATTTACTTCAAAAATGCTGAGTAATTGCTCAGCTTTAAGTAAATAAAGTTTGAACAAAACTACCAAAATATTAATTTACGTAAAGCTGACCAATTAATGAGTAAAAGCTATGGCTTCTTTTTTATTGACCTGGCTATATAATATAGAAAATAAGAATAAGAATAATAGCAATAAAAATTTAAAAAAAATGGCAAAAAAGACATCTAATTGTAAAAATTCTTTTTTGGAGTATTCTAATTTTAAAAGTATATTATAAATGATTGTTTCATATACGGTCTGGAAACTCATTATGTGCTAAAAAACGTTCAGACATTTGCACAAAACGCTATACAATTTTTTTTGTTTTGTTAGTTTTGTTTGTTAATTCACCTCCAAAAAGAGGAGATATAGAATAGAGGAGAAGGCTGCTTAATTGTAGTTATAACCCTCTCTCAATTCTATAACTCTGAAACACGAACCTTGACGAGCAAGGCCGCTGCGCGGAGAAATAACTTAAGCGCGGTACTACCATGGACGTGGAGAGGATCAAACATGGAAACTTTTGCTTGCAAAGGAGGCGCTCTACCTCTAGATCACTACCGCATAATGGCAGAACTAAAAAGATCATAAGCCATAAAATACTATAGACGCAGCCATAGATAAAAAATTTTCATCTGAAAGCGCTTGTCTATTAAAACAATAACGTATGTACAAATTGTCAAATGTTAATCCAAAATGATGTATCAGCTGAGCCGTTTTGGGTTTTATTCATTACTTTAAAATTATACGAAACGTTTATGGATATTTATTAAACGTTAGTTGTTGAGGAAATATTATTTTGTGTTGCCGATTGAAAGGACTATGATCAGTATTTCAGCATTTTTTTTCTCAAAAATGAAATTTTGAAGTTTCGTAAAATAACTTGACGTCAATATGTGGTAAAAAAAACTTGAACATATATATTATTTCACGGCTATGAATTTGTATTTATTACAATAGTAAAAAATAGTCAATACTACATTTATTCTTTATAGGTATATATACCATAAAAATATATTCTATATACTTTGAAAAATAGATTTAAAAAAAAAAAAAAAAAATCATATTTATTGTTTGTTTTTTCAAGTTTTTTGCCAATAAGTGACGTCAAATAAGTGGCTTTAACGATTTACGAAATTTCCGTTTTTATCGCTATTAATGGTCATATTTTTATTTTTTCATATTTTTACTAACTTGTTTCAATTTCATGCTATACTTTTCTGTACAATGTTCTTATATCCGATGATATTGTTGGCTAAGCATAAAAACAGCCACAAATAGTCATTAAGACTAATCCAAAATAGCGTCCGTTCTTGACTAATATATTTGCATACCGAAGTAATATTCAAACGCTGAGTTGGCGGTAGCAGGATTTGAACTCGTATCTTACAACAGTCCGGGTTTAAACTTTTTGTTTTGCGCTCTAGACATCTGAGCTATCCAACCACTTAAAAGAACTTTATTTTATCCAAAAGAAATTATCAAGAGAAGTTCAAATCTAAAATCCAAGTTTTAAACTTTTATTTTGATGAGGCAATTTGTTTTATTCTTAAATTTTTTTTAAAAAAACCATAAGATAAATACATTATTTAAAAAGAAAGCAGCTTGAGCTAAAAAGGCTTGCAATTATTAGAAAATATTACACATGATTCTTTATATAACGTTATATAAGTTGGTGTTTTACATTTTCATATAACATATGTGTTTATATAAAAAAGCAATTTTATTTCTATGCCACTATTCTATGCAATAAAGCTGCCTTTTTTTAGTAAGTCTGCTTGAAATGTCTTGATTAATTACAGTTGGTAAAAATGTTTAAAAAATAGTTTGTTTTTCAACTTTTATCCGTAAACTCGATAGATAAGGGGTTTAATGCAGCAATGTCTTTTTGATTTTTTTAAAATCTAATCATATATTTTATACATGACTAGATTGAAAAAAGGTTTCAATGTTTTATAATGTGTTCCTTTTTTATATTTTATTGATATTGATTGTAAAATGTAAATGAAACTAACAAGGCAAGATGATAAGATCTGACTTATGAAAAAACTATCTTATAAACTATCTGAAACTTATTAGGACTAATTACCTGGTACATTAAAAACATAAGTATCTCAATGAAGACACATACGCAACAAATTTTTCCTGTGTTTTGATGATTTTGGAATGTTTAGCATTTTTAAATATCCTTTCGTTTTTTATGTGTATAACATCTTTATATATGTCATGTATGTATTATCTATACAACTTGAAAGTGCCTAAATTGGTATGTTAAAAAACTTGAAAGAGATTTTTAAATAATAGTGCTAGTAGTAGGATTCAAAACACGGCTTTATAGCTTAAACACTCGGCTAGCTATCCATTCAGAAATAAATACTACAGATCAAATTTGAGGAGGTGTTAATGCAATGCAATTATCAAGTGAAAATAAAACTGTAAAACTTAATACAAGTATATTTCAACATTACATAATTTAAACTTTACGTACGTTAGATATTTGCATTCACTTTCGTTCACGTTTTCTTATACCAAAAGGTACTGCACAACCTCGCCACAACCTCGGTTGTAATAGCTGCCAACGTTCCGTGTCAATCACGGTCGAATAGGCACTAACACTAACACTATTAAGATTGTCATTAATACATAAAGATTAAAACAAAATGCTAAATTTTTGCTTTTTGCATAACTATTTATAAAATGACTGTTTCGTAAACTTATATTGGTTGCTATGGTGTTGTTACGGGGAAAAAAACTGATTAAGTAGAAACAATGCTAAATTATTACAACTTAATGTAAAATTGATAAATTAAAAGATTTTCTAATCAGGGAACAAAAGAATAATAATTATTTAAATATTATTTTTTTAACTAAATTCTTACTTCCTTGGGGTACTACTATATTATTAACTTTTTTCCTACCTTGCTTATGTTGACTTAAGTATGAGTTATACGCAACAAAAAATATTTTTTTGAAAGTTTACTATTATTATCACAATGAAAGTTCTTATAACTAAAGGATAATTAATAAAAGTTTTTTAAATGTCTGTTTTACCCCTTCTCGTTTTACCTACTAAAACAGTGTTGATTAAGTTGATTTTATTATTTAGTGATGAAAAACTCTTAACTTACTATCGATATCTTCTTGTGTCCTTCTAGTTTACCATAAAAAATATCAAATGTCATTAATATTAAAGTCTTGCCTTTTAAAGTTAAATCTATTTTTAGTCTATTTATGTCGCCAGCTGTTGTTGTTTTTTAAAATGAAACTTATGATATTTAATATTAAAACATAAAAGTTTATTGGTTTTAAAATGCTTTAAGAAATACTTTTAGAAATAAAAGGATTTAAGAATCTTTATTTAGGCTTAGAATTAAATTTATTCAAATTGTATTAGCCAATTTAAGTAGTTAAAATTAAACACCATAATAACTGAGTTTATTAAAATTTTTATTTCCAAAACTATTTGTTTTAGGCTTATAAATAAATAGTTACTACAAATTAAAACTTGAAAACTATTCCGCTTTATTCAGTATTTGACGAGTTTTTTTATTTTTTTTAAAAGTGTTTTAGCATTTTAATATTGCCAATGCTGATTGATTTGTGGTTTGTTTATCTTAAGGCTTTTTACGTTTGTCAATTTTCTTTAACAGCCAACTCTGATTGGTTAGTACATCTTTTTATTGACAATGCTGAAGTAATTGTTTAAATCATTGTTTGAAACTAAAAGGTTGTTTTTTAGCTTTGAATTTTTCAACAGATAAATGTATTAATAGTTGGAAGACAAAGTAACTCTTCCTTCTGTAAACCTATGCCTTATAATAAATAGTTTTTGTCCTTGTGAAGAACCTAAAAATAAATAAAAAAATAAAAAAAGTTTTATAAAAGCATAAAGCAGCTGTTGATTCCAAACTACTGCAAAGTATAAAATACTATTTTTTTGTAACATGGTTTATGTTATTCAATTAAAGTCATTAGATTAATTTTAATTGAATATCCTAACAACTAAAATACTGTTAAATACAAAATACTGTAAAATACAAAATACAATATTTTTGTAACAATGTTTATGTTATTTAATTAAGTTTATTATACTTATTTTAATTGAATGTCCTACAAACTGAATGTTCATAAGTCAAAACACGAGATTATTGCTGACATTATTTTTTCAACATCACTTAGAGAATCTACAGGAGTAGTTGTTTAAAAGGTGGGAGGCGATTTATTTCCCCTAATAGACGTTAACGTTTACACCGGAAATTAAAATATGTCTAACTTTCGTTTTATACTCATCTTGATAATCAATTTTACAAATAAATGTACTTTCTTGCCGAGCGGGTTTTGTGACTTTTAAAGAGTTCAATTTAATTCAATTTTTACAATTTTTGAAAATGTTTCTGTGTTTGTAAAGGGTTTCTTTAACTTCGTTGGAAGTCATTTAAATGAATTCCAACAGGCGTTGGTAACACGTCGTAACACGTCTCAACATGCCTCCTTGGTCACAACACGTATCAACACTTCACAACACGTCTCCTTGGTCACAACTTAAAGAATCTTTTTTCTCAGATTTTAATTCGTTTAACTACCAAATAAACACAAAAAGAAACATTATTGTTAAGAAATTTTTAAACAGAAATGAAAATCAAATATAATCCTTTTCAGTGTTTCATATAAATAAATAAAAGAAAAGAGAAATAGCGTTCAAAAACCGAGAGTTGAAAACTAGGCATGCACAGCAAAAATAGAAATGAAGAAAACTTAAAAATAATGATTACTATAACTAATTAAGCTTCACAAACCTTTTAGCACATTGTCCCAAATAGGAAAATTAAAAATACCTTGGTTTCGAAATGGGTAACCATTAAAACAAAATTACAATTTCAATTTAGGTTCATTGAAAAAAAAATTAAGGTTCGAAATTTTCTAATATATTCAAATTCTATTCCTCCATTCTATTCAAACTTATTTTTAAAAAATATTTTAAAATGGTTATTTATTAACCCAGTGGCTTTTTTTTACAGAAAATTACAAAAAAACTGCAGGGTATTTCAAATTAGTTATTGTAAAACCTTAAAGTATCTCAGTTTAGGGTTCGTCTCATAAAAGCGCCATTTCAGTTTTCTACTTTTTTGTTTGTTAGTATAAAATACGTTGGATTTATACCATTTTTTTTTATAGCTAGACTAGCTAAGCTTGTATGAATTTAAAAATAATAGTATATTCTTAATTGTAAATGATTGTTTTGACAATGTTTAGTTTGTGCTCTAAATAATGTTGACTTTAACAACGTTAATAAAAACATCTTCAATGTTTCTTTTTTTTTTGAGTATTAAAAAAACGGAATTATGTTTACGGCGCCGTCTTTACAAAGTTAGGGATATTAGGATACAAGTGACAAGGGTGTTTTCATTATAGATTTGTATTTTTATATACATTTATTGTGCATATATTAAAAAATCTAGGCGTTGTAAATTGTGAATAGTTTATCATTTAAATAAATAACAGAATCATTTGTTACATTAGTTAAAATTAAAAAATAAACGGAAGATTTTATGTTCAAGAACTAAGATGTTTGCATATACTTTGAACTAAAGGACTGGTATACACAATAGCATGCATAAGGCATACACAAAAAGGTTTTGTTTAGAATAAAGTTTATAATTATCTTCATACTTAAAAACTTACTACTAATCTTCATACTTAAAAATCTTACTACTAATCAGACATTATACAGTGAATATGATAAACATGTATTTTATAAATAATGTATAAATATACAATAATGATAGTAATAATAATAGTAATAATAATAACAACAATAAAAATAAATTTTGTTTATAATAATAACTTTTTTGTTTATATATTTGTTTTTTACATTTTGTTATCATTTTATATTTATAATTTTTTTATTTTTTATTCAATTGTAATTTTGCTTGTTTCAGTTCATTTTTAGACGATTGATATGCCGAGTGCAATAAGTAATCATATTTTTTTAAACAATTAAATATTATGCAGAACAGCTATAAATACAACATAAACCCATATTTTAACATAACTGTTTTTCAATAAAATATTAATACTTCCGTGGCAAAATTTATATACTGAGTTTTAAAATTATAGTAGGGAAAAGTTCACTATTAAAACCAGTTTTTTCCTAAAAATAGTATTAAATTAACATTTTCATGTTGTTTTTTGCATAAACTTATTAAAACTTGATATATGCAACCAAGGAAAAAACAAAATCTTTATGTCATTTAAAATTATTGTTGGTTTTTTAAGTAGGTTACTTAAAAGTAGGTTACATACTGTTGTTTAAAAGTAGTTAAGTAGGTTACTTACTGTTGTTTAAAAGATTTTACTTTGAATAAGGTAAAACGTGTTTTTTTTTTTTTTGTATTTAAATGAACCCCGAAATTTAGATAACCAGCGTGGTACTTGTAGCATGTATTCACTAGAAAGACACTAACAACAATATAGTGTTTTACAAAAACAGGCAAAATTTCTGACAAAAATATGTTAAGTTTTTTGTAAATTTAAAAAGTTACAGAACATAGAGATTGAAACGCATAAAAAACCTAAGAATTTGTGTCTTTTTTTTTGTGTGTGTAATTTATTTCGACGTTAAAAAAATGTTTACATCGCATATACATTTATTGAAATTATTAGCTGGAGCAAGAAGAAGGCACATTTTGCCTTTGCCGAGGCCCGTATAAATACAAAAAAAATTTTACATAGCCGTAACATACAAATATACATAAAGACATAAATCAGAATTAAAACAGAAAATAACTGAGAAATTAAACAAAATTAAAATAGCAAATAATTAAGAAGTGTTAAAATGCTTACAACCCCTAAAATGTATGAGAACACTTAAACAAAAATTTTCAAATAAAAAAATAAGGTAAAACTTCATAAATAACATAATCAATAGAAGAATTTTGAGCATCGTTACTTGAATTTAATTAGTATAAATAAATCTGTTTTGAGTTTACTTTAAAAGAATTATTTAAAGTCGGAAAAATTAAATTCCCTAAAGAGTAATATTCTTTTGATTTGATCTTGAATTGCTCTAAGGTAGCCTTGTTTCTGTTGACATTATCTGGGAATTTTTTCCCACGGTTTTTAATTGAATAGGGGGTTAATTTTAAATTATATTTGAGTAGAAAAAAGTGGTTTTCGGAAAACTTGTGTAGTGCTTATGAATAACTTTATGAAAATAGATTTGAAAGATTTTTGGGGACAATCCCATTTTTGTTTTAAACATAAACAATAAAACTTGATATAAGTTGAGTTTATACACATTAAAGCACCAGTTTCAAAGTTTTACATTAGTATTTACAAATACCAAACTATTGTTTAATGATTTATCATAATATTTATTGAAGTTATATTTATTGGTAAGTTTGATAGTTTCTCAAATAATTTGTTTTAACACATTTAACTGTTATATACGAGGTAGATTTTTGATGATGATGTTAATTTTTTCAGTTTTATAATGAACTTTTTGCGATAGTAAACAAAGTAAGCAACAACGTTCTTGGATTGTACTAGATATCCAAGAGGAATCGAATACTATTCGCCAAAAACTAGTTCAGGTATCAACTGTGTAGAGCCGCCTCTAAAGTTATGGATTAAAAAGATGTGTAGCATTGAAATAGCACTTCTTACATAGTCAAAATATAATAGCGATATAACGTAATAGCGATATAACGGGTAAGTATATTTTATAAAACCTATGTACCCGAGAATAAAAAAACCCAACTAATCCTAACAAGTACTTAGTAAGTCGTATCAGTAAAACTTACAAAGATCCTAACAAGTACTCGCAAAAAACCTAACAGTATAAGCAGGTTTCAATAGGATCTTGGTAAAATATTTAGGCTTTTATTTAGAAATTAGCTGTATTAATAAGTTTTAGTCAGAACTCAGAAAAAATAATAGGCATTTTACTCAGCACTTTGTTGAACTGGCCGATTCCAGAAATAACATAGTATGATTTGTAAGTATTGCATTCTGATGCTGGTTTTAGTTGAAAGTAGAAAATCTGGATACTACACAGAAGTTGAAATTCTGGATACTACACAAACAACAAAAAAACATGCCCAGTAAGTGTTCGTTTTATGGTAAACGAGAATTTTACCAGGGGATAGCCATGTCTACCGGTAGTATGTCT